TGAATGGGCGATGCCATGGGTCCCTATAGCCAGAAGGCTCTGCCTTAGGAGGCTACCAAACAAAGGTGCCACTTATGCCCACTCCTCCCTTTTTTTCCAGGGATTCCCAGAGATGCAGGGGCCTGAAAGGGGTTTCTCCCTCTCCCAAGCTAAATAAACTGACCATTGGTCCCCAGGCATTTTAAACCCTGAGTTGGGGCTCCCAAGTAAAAAGCAGGTGTTCAGGAATCCTTCCTCACTCATACCCCAACTCTGTTAGCCAGTTTCCAGGCATTGGTCTTGGGCTTGGTGATCTGAAAATAAAAGGAAACCACTAAAATGGAGTCCAGAGGCCAGAAAGGGAAGCTCTAACACAGTACTACCACTGGATGGCAAATTGTCAGTTATAGACCCCGACAGAAGAATGAACAGGAATCAGTTAGAGGTCAACAGAAAAAGATGTACATTACATTTCCTACAAGAAATTGACTACCCCAGCAACTCTGCCAATGAGAAACCATCATCTCCCTTAAATCTCTTTTCTCCAATGGACTTTTGTTCAAAACAACCTCTCCCAACTTTCTTTCTCCATAAAATAAGGTCCCTTTCCTCATTTGTTGACTTCCTCTATGGCTTTTGTTATATCTTGCTTGCCCTGATTTGCAACTCTTTGCTGTTCTTGAATAAACCCATTTTTGCTGGTAAAATAACTGACTTAAAAAAATATATATTGATTTTAGAGAGAGGAGGAAAGAGAAAGGAGAAAGAAACATCTATTTGTTGTTCCATTTATTATATGTCCCCTGACTGGGGATTGAACCTGAAACCTTGGCTTATCTGGATGATGCTCTAACCAACTGAACTACCCAATCAGGTAAAATAACTGACTTTTATTTTTAAGGTAGGAAGGAACCTTTATCTTGGATTATTGGGACGTGTCACCTAAAATGTCCCAAGCCATTGCCTGAAATTTCATTCTTAGAGATTCTCTGAGGCTGTGAGAAACTGAGTATGGCATATCTTTTGAAGGACCCTGGGAAGAGCAGCACCTGGGATACTGCTTTGGGGAGAGAAGGGATAGAGATGGGAGCAGGGTCTGTGAGGGAGGACCAGCCAAGGTAAGGGACCACATAGAAACCCCCAGCACCTTGAGGTTCAAGGGCTGTGAATGACATCATCTACTTGAACTGCCAGTAGGGAGAAAAGCTGATGCCACCTGTCAGTGCACTCCAGCAGCTGCAGCTCTTCCTCAAGGAATCACTATAAGCAAGAAACAGGAAGTTGCAAACTGGCATAAGATGATTTTATTTATTATTTTTTAACATACATTTTTTTATTTTTAGAGAGAGGAAGAGAATCATCTATGTGAGTGTGAGAGTAAAACATCGATTGGCTGCCTCCCACATACTCCCTATTGGGAATCAAGCCTGCAATTGGGCATTTGCCCTGACCGGAGTCGAACCAGCAACCTTTCAGTGCACTGGATGACGCCCAAGCAACTGAGTCACATGGGCCAGGGCCATAAGATTTTATTTATTATTTATTAATTTATTAATCCTCACCCAAGGATATTTTTTCCATTGCTTTTTCAGAGAGAATGGAAGGAAGAGAGAAACATTGATATGAGAGAGACATCAATTGGTTGCCTCCTGCACGCACCCTGACCGGGGCCCGGGTCCGTGCCCTTGGCTGGAACTGGACACGAGACCCTTCAGTCTTTGGGCTGACATTCTAACCACTGTGCCAAACCGGCTAGGGCCGTAAGATGACTTTTAAAAGGACTGTGTACAGAAAAGATTCTAGCGGCTGACAGAAAAATGTGGAGCAGTTGCCTCAGCCCTGATAACTACCATGTATCTCTGTCCTTGGAGGTGAGGACAGTGGGGCTCAAGGGCCAGCACAGCTGAAGCCACCTCCCCTGGCCCACTTGTCCACTGACAATCTTCCATCCTTCAAATTCCTTAAAATTCCCTCCTTTCCAAGGACCTTGTCCCAACCGAAGACGGGGTTGTACCTGCAGTGACACAGCCAGTATGCAATAGGAGGCAAACCTCAGAACCTGGACAGGATAGAGCGGGAACTACCTGGATAGAGTGCAAGAAAAAAGATGGGTGTTTCGGGCTAGGCTGGCAACACAATTCTGCACACTGGGCAATCTGTGTTTCTCTGGGCTTCCTTTTACTTGTCTATAAAATAGGAAGCTCCTACTGTTGTTATAACTGAGATAGTGATGCTTCTTGTGCCTGCCAGTTGCTTGTTTTATTATCATTTAGGCTGCAAGCCCATAGGACAAGAACCTTTTGTACCTTGTACCACAGCTGCTGCTGCTAATGTCATCATTAATGAGAATATTGGGAACATATTGCAGCCACTGCTCCTGTGTTTTCCAGACACTGCTCACCAACCAGGCACCACTTGGCCCCTAGAGATGGAGCCAGGGATGCAAAGCCAAAGACCCAGTCCATTAGTGATAAAAAACCACTTAGCTGCTGGGTCCAGACAACTACATGGAAGACCAACCTATGCATTCATTCAGCAAATGTGTACTGAGCACCTACTATGTGCCAGGTGCTGTGAATACTGTGAACAAGTCCAGTATGGATCCTCTCCTTACAGAACTTATGGTCCAGTGGTCCATGACCATTGGCCCCGGTAGAGGCTAAAATAATTTTACAAATGGTTCCCTTTCCTGAAAAATAAAATAAAAAATCCAGCCATGGCCAGGCTAGATACCACAGGACCCATGGCCAATTCCTTCTTTCCCCAAGAAGCTTTGATGGCAGAGCCCAGACGTCAGGAGTAGGGTCGGGGGCTTAGGAGACACATCATCTTTCATTGTGGGTGCCTAGTCAGTGTCACCCATGTGACGGATTACCAGACCTGAGATCAGAGGTAAGGCTGAGACCAGACTGGCAGGACATCTCCAAAGAGGACAGGGGAAAAGGCCTGGATAACACAATAAGCCAGAATCCCTGGGGGACCGTGGGGGGTTGGGGGGACTACATGGGATCTCACGATGGGAACATCTGGAAAGGTAGTTCCTGTGTCTGGGAAGAGACAGACTTGAGGGAAGGGAGTATGCCTACACACAGGCAGGGGCCCACTGGAGGGAGCAGCATGGCTATGGTGTGAAATAAGGCATTTAATCTCTCTGACTCAGATGAACAGTAGCCTCCCCCTCTTTTCTACTGAAAAGTCATTGTTCCAAAGACCACCATGGTACATGGCTGAGGTGGCACTGTAGGCAGCACTCTCTGGTGGCAGTCTTGCCTTTAGGGGAACTGGATTACAGTTCTAGAGTTACTGCTCCACATGTTGGAGGGTCTGAAACCAGGCTCCCTTCTTCCTAAACCAGGGCCTGTGGGTGTGGAAAAGGCTTGGATTTTGGGCTGAGAGCCCTACCTAGTACAAAAACCAGTTCACTCTCATGGTGTCTCTCAGAGCCTCAGCTTCCTGATTTGTAAAACAAGAATTCAAGTCCCTATAAGGTAGTCATGAAGAAATAAGCACTTACTTAGCATAAGGCCTGCACACAATTAAGTGTGCAAGAAATACAGTGGGCACAGTAGTGAATCTTGGTCTGTTTTGACCACTGGTGTCATGATCAGTTAAGAAGTGGGTCCCATGTCATTTGTTACTAATAATCATTTAACTACCAAAGTTTGTAAATTATTTACAGTGGAGTCATATCAGATATGCATATAACTTACTGCAAAATCTAGGGTCAGCACTTGGCCTCTCCGGACCTGTCCTCATTACTAGCATAGGAGTAATATCACCTCATAGCCAGAGGCTGAGAATACAAAAATGAACAAGCCACAAGTGTGGAATGTTCAATTAATAAGGGACATTTCAGGAGTCTGCAGCTCAAGGATTAAAGTCAAAGGTCTCATCTTGATGTCTAAGGCCTCTCCTTCCTGTCCCCCAGGCCACCTTCCTAGTCTTCTATCTCATAACTCCCCCTATACTACAGCCAAACAACTCTTTCCTACCCCCTACCTCCTCCTGCTTAAACTGTTCTGCTGCCTGGAATGCCCTTGCTTTCAATTCCTTCTGTTAAGTCTTCATTTCTTTCAAAATTGATTTTAAGTACCACCTCTTCCCTGCTGCCTTTCTCCTACTGCTGCCAGGCACTCTCTAAGCTGGGCAGATAAAGAGATGTACCAGGATATGGCAAAGCTGGTTGTGTGCCTGCCTTCTCCCTCTAGCTTGAGATCCCAGCAGGCTGGGGTCAGGCCTCAACCATCCCCATCAGGCCTTCCATCCAGTAGATGACCCTTAGAATAGTTTCCAGTTATCATTCCCAGGTGGGTTCTTATTTTGCTTTAATTTCCTAGACCAGATTAGGAGTTCAGTAAATGACCATTTAGGCAAATAGGAGGGAGGAGCTCAACTTTTTGTGATTTCATTCATGATGAGGCCTCTTAAAAACTTTGAAATTAGGAAAGGCACTTAACCTCCCTGAGTCTCTCTCTACTCTCATCTATAAAATTAAGATATTAGTACTAAGCTTGTTGTGAAAATAAAAAAAATCAACTACAAAGCCCCTAGCACCCAGTAGGTGCTCAATAAACAATAGTTCCCCAAGGAATACTGGATCAGTCCAAAGTGGAAATGGGGAGAAAAAGAAAATATGAATTGGGACATAAAAACTATGGTACAGAAAATAAATACAAACATAAGTTACAATAAATATAAAGGGTTCAATTCACCTATTAAATGATAGTCTTAGATTGGGTTAAAAACAAGCTGTTTACAAGAAACATGCTTAAAGAGATAAAAGTTCTCTTCACTTTACCCATCCTTCCAAGCCCAAGGGTTAAAACCCCAAACTGCAGACAACCCCGTCTTTTTTTTTTTCCCTTTATTTTTTCCCCACCACCATTTATCCCTCCTATACCCTCTTCTACCTTCCCCACCCCACCCCCCAACTCTGTGTCTTCATCAGCACACAAATATCACCCCTTAAGGCATACATTGTTGGCAATGGATTACAGTATCTATATAATAAAGGCTCAAAATTCTTTTAGGCACCAAAATTTTTATTTACCTACCTTCCTGCTCTAACATTATAAGCATTATATAAACTTTATAAACCAAATTAATCTCTTTTTGATCCAGGGTTGTGATAGGAACCATTACAAAGTGGTGGCAGATCTATGCCTGCTTTTAAGATTCTCTGGCCCATCTCAACCTCTGGCTGTCACTTCTCTTGTTCTTTCTCCACTGTCCCATAACAGTATATTTTATAACCCCTATAAAATAGGGGACTGAAAGTACCAACCTCATTGTTCTGAGGTTTAAGAGAATGCCCAGCACTAAGCCAGGCTCTCAGGAGCATTCAAACTCCAACAGTTCCTCCCTGCCCATTGATATAGCTCCTCCTCATTTGCCATGGGCTGAGGAACCAGTGAACCTATAAACCAAGAACATGGGTACAACATCCATAGGCCAGGTGAGGGCTTAGATAATAAAGTGCACAGGCGTTGTGCCCACTACTTCTAAAACCCCTGAGCTCATGGTTCCCTGTGGGTATCTCCCATATACCTCCACTGTGACCAGGGCTTGAGGAAGGGCTCAATTACCTTCTCAAATTGCCCTGTCACGCATGGAACAGTATGAGGGATGTAGTGGAGCCCAAAGATTGAGTGACCAGCCACAGGGAGTCAATGGGGGACATTCACAAACCATTCTCAAAGTTGGCGCCATTTACTCTTGGGGAGATGTGGGACCTGGACAAGGACAGCAGCTAGAAGGCAAAAAGGGCAGGCCTGGTTCTCAGTAGCGGTAGTGATCGGGCTTGAAGGGGCCATCACGGGGCATGCCCAGGTACTGGGCCTGCTTCTCAGTCAGCTTGGTCAGCTTCACATTCAGCTTGCGCAGGTGGGCTTCAGCTACTGCTTCGTCCAGCTGCGGAGAAACACAGGAAGATGTAGACTCAGTACCATGCTCTGGAACCCCTTACCTGCATCAAGAACTACTCAGTTGGGGTATCTGCCATGCGCCACACACATTACCTCATCCTATCCTCCGTCACCCTCAGTGGGTGTGTTGTTGACTTCCCAGCTCCCCTTCCTCCAAAGGGAACCACGCTACCTCCTTCTCTCCAAGTAACCCTGGTGGGACCATCAGTTACATCTCCTTCCCCACCTTCCACCAACCCAAGTAGCTAACCAAAATGCTTCTCTGGAATTTATCTATGGAAAGGGCATTTTCCATAACAGGTAGAGAAAGGGTCTCTTCAAGTCCACCAGGATTCCTAAACAAGGAGGGTATCAGTCTCAGCTTGCTAGTGGTAAGTCCAATTGACAAGTGAAGTGAATGTAAGGAAAAAAAAGAGCCAAGACAGAGAAACACAGAGCTCTAATAACACTGAATCCCTGGGTCCACTGTCTGAATCTTAGACTCCTCCACTACACAGAGTGGGGCAAAAGTAGTTTACAGTCGTGAGTACGTGAAACACAGTTTATTCTTGTATTATTATTAGTTATTGTATTATTTTTCATATGGACATCTTTGAACCTACTTTCACCCCACCCTGTATAGCCAATAGACTTCCTTTTTAGATTAAATTGGTTGTGATTGTTTTAAAATATGTCCTTAAATTCTTTGTCTAGAAATTCATAATAATCCTTTCTCCAAGAGGTGCAGCCTAATTCCTTACCCCTTAAGTGACTCACTTCTAATGAACAGGAAAATAGCAGAAGTGATGGTGTGTGACTTAGAGACTAGGTTCTAAAAGACACTGCAGCTAGCTCCTTTGCTCCCCTGGACTACTCACTCTGGTGAAAGGCCAGCTGTCATCTCATGAGGACACTTAAGTGGCCCTATGGAAGGACCAATGTGACAAGGAACTGAGTCCTCCTGCCAACAGTGAGGTGAAGTGGCTCTCCCAGCCAGTCTAGACTTCAGAAAGGACCATAAAGGACCTCAAGTCATTACCACCCCACTAAGGTGCTCTAAAATTCCTGGCCCACAAAAACTGAAATAATAAACATTTATTGTTTTAAGCAATTAAGTTTTGGGGTTAAGTTGTTATATAGCAATAAATAACTAACACACCAGTTTAAACAGGGTTTCTATCTACCACATGCCACCAAAAGGATCCTGACTAATAAAAAATTGCCATCCTCCGTTCATAAATGTAGAAATGAAGGCTCAGAAAGGTGAAATGACTTGTCCAAGGTCACACAGCTAGTTATTGATAGAGCTAGGACTTGAACCCAGGTCCTTCTGGCTCTCACACCCGAAAACTTGTCTCAAGTATCTCAACTTATGGCCTCCAAGGCAGCTTTGAAGAGATGGAACAGAAACTAAGAAGGACAGAGGCTAGGGTTAGATAAAGCCAATTTTTAAGTCTTACCAGTGCTGAAATACATAAAAGGGGTCTGAGAAGAAGGGCAAGTGGTTGTACTTAGAGAAGGGTCAACTTTCTCAGCTTCTGGCTCTGCGTAGGGCCTCTTTCTGCCCCTAATGCCCCAAGTCCCATCCCATGGTGACACAACAGCTTTGTTCCACAGCTGAGCCCCAAGAACTTTTACATTTCCAAGTGATTTCAAATCCATTGTCTCATTAGAGCCTCACAAATACCCCTAAGGAGGGTAGGGTTTATTCTTCTATATAACAGATGAAGAAACTGGGGAGAAGGCAAAGGCATGAGCAGAGCCCAGCCCCAAGTCCATGCTAGTTCTGGAAGCAGAATGAAGGTCTCCAACCACCAGAGTACACACTAAATACTCCCTTCACTTGGCCTGGCCTAGACCTGAACACACTTCTTCCTTCTCCCAGCACTCACCCCAGAAAGCAGTGTGTCATAATGGTTAACAGTGTGGACAGACAGTAGAGTTGGGTTCTACTCCTGGCTCAATACTTGACAGCTGTGGGAGCAAGTCAATCTCTGAACCTTAGTTTCCTCATTTGTAGGATGGATCTCTCATGGCTATTACAAAGATCAGTGCTACACTTCTTGGTGCAAGTAGACACCTTAATAAATGGCGCCTGCTCTCTCTGTCGTTGCCCACACAGTATGTGTCAGGCATGAAGCTGAGAATGTCTCGTCCCCAGTCCATACCTTGGCAGTGATGAGGGAGGTAAGAATGGGGCCATATGCTGGGGTGGGATATGAGATCTTTGCCTCTTTACTTCCAGCCCTAACCTCATTTCAAAGGTCTGTTTAATTTCTCACCGAATTCACAGCCATATTTCCTCCAACTGGAATCAGATTGAGGTCAAATGAGACTTTTTTAACCCCACAAGGCTGGGAACCTTGCAGACTACACAGAACAGGACAGCCCAGAGGCCCTTATGGGTAAAGCATCTGGTCCAAGGGAAGTGCCCAAGGAAGACTAGGGGGAAAGGAGCTGGCTCTGGGGGCCGATGCCCTATGCCCCAGGCCACAAGAGGACACCTGGGCCTTTTCCTACTTCACTTGGAAGAACCAGCCTTTCAAGGGGTAGGGGGAGTGGTATGGAGACTCCACCACAACCTCTCCAGTAGCCAAATGCTAGATAAGCAAGAGCTACTCTTACCAATTAGCTGATAGGGAAACTGAGGCCAAGACAGGCTAAATGGCAAAGCCAAGTTCACCCATGACACTGGCAAAAAAAGCCAGGACTAAAACATAGCAATTCTGATTGCTGGGGGTGTGCACATTGCATGGGGTGTTAGAATGAGCACTGGGTTTGATGTCAGAAGACCTCACTGTCACGGTTACCCTGACCACATTTCCATAGCATTGTCAGGTTCTATGCTCAGCGTGTTAGTGGTATCATCTCATTCCAAGGCCACAATTCTATAGCCTGAAGGCTGCATTTGGCTTACAAACATGTCCAAGTTGACCCACCTGGTTATTTTTAAAAACGGTAACAAGCCTGGCCGGGCATGGCTCAGTGGTTGAGCGTTGACCTAGGATCCAGGCAATCGGGGTTCGATTCCTTGTCAGGGCACATGCTGGGGTTGTGGGCCCGATCCCCAGTTGGGGGCGTGCAGGAGGCAGCCGATCAATGACTCTCTCATCACTGATGTTTCTATCTCTCTCTCTCCCTTTCCTCTCTCGGAAATCAATAAAGATACATTTAAAAAAACAAAACAAAAGGTAACAAGTTGCCTATATTTAAAAATTAAATATTTCATACAAAGATCTTAATATCTGGCTTCTCTTGAAATGTCAGGAGCCCTGGTCCAATGGGCCTTGGTTTCAGGTTAATGACAGTTAGCTGACCCCTTCACTGGGGTATGTGCTCATCTATTAGTCCTCACCCAGCCCAGTCAACTCATTTACCTGCCCAGTACCCATGGGCATGTGCGTTTGTGACCCCTGATCTAAGGGAATCCTCATAATCCTTAAAAGAGGTAGTATTACCTTTATTTTACAGAGGAGGAAATAGAAGCACAGAGAAGTTAAGTAACTTGCCCCAGTTATACAGCTTCTAAGTGCTAAGACTTAGATTTAAACCTGGGTAGGTCGCCCTACAAAGCCCATGCTCTTCTCATCACCCAGCCCTACCACTCTGGGAGGCATTCCCTACTTTGGGCCTGAGTTTCTTCTACTGCTAAATGAAGAAAATTATTTCTGCCCTGTGTAATACCCTGTGAGGACCTCTCAAGTAAACTCTGGCAACCCCTGTGTGGGGAGCCCAGACACATGACCCTTGGCCTGGGTCGGAGGTGGATACCCACCTTCTTGGGCAGGAAGTGGACCCCAACAGAGTACTTGTCCGGATGGGTCCACAGTTCAATCTGCGCCAGCACCTGGTTGGTGAAGGAGTTGCTCATCACGAAGCTGGGGTGACCCATCGCGCAGCCCAGGTTGACCAGCCGGCCCTCGGCCAGCAGGATAATGCGGTGCCCATTCTTTAGCTGGTAGCGGTCCACCTGCAAGTGGACAGAGCAGCAGTGAGGGCTAGTGGGGCAATGCTCCCAATGTCCACCCCTGCCTCCTCCTACCCTCTTGTCCAGCAGGCCTCCCTATCTCCAACAGCAGCTGTGAAGGGCCTGGACTGCCCTAGAACAGCCTCTAGCACAGGCCCTGTCACACTCAATTAATAATAATAGGCAATACTTATCAAGCAGCTCTGAGCTACAGACCTCACAGGTCTGCTGTGAGAATTTAATGAGCTGACACATATAAAGCACTTGACACACAGCTTGGCACATACTAAGTATTCAGTAAGTACTAGCTAATGTTGTTATTGTTATTATTGCCATGTGCCCTGAGCTAAGAGCACACACGTAACTATATATATAATTATATGTGTATATATATACATATGACTAACAACAACCCTATGGTTTAAGTACCATTATTATCCCTATTTTACAAATAAAGAAACTAAAATTTAAAGGGTTAAACTTGTCCAGAGCCAAACACTAAGAAGTAGCTGCAATCTGAGTCTGGACAGTCTGAGGACAGATCCCATGTTCTCAATCATCATGCTCAGTAAAAGCTGAATGTAGTGATGCTAAACCTTGGCTGCTCATCAGAACATCTTGGGACCTTTGAAAAACAGAATGCCCTGGCCTCCCTCCGAGATGCTGACTTAAGTGCCCTGAATCCAGGCCGTCTTCTTCCCTATCCCACTGCCCAGGTTGCCAGAGCTGCCTCATCTGCCTTCCCCTGATGGCCACCCCGTGAGCATACCCTTCTCAGCCCTACATCTGCCCACCCTGCTGGAAGGACTGGGCTGCTCACCTGGGGCTTGATGTTCACTTTCTCCACAGCATTCTCATTCAGCCACTTGACATCAATCTCCACATCAAAATGTCCAATGTTACACACGATGGCATCATCCTTCATCTGCTCAAAGTGCCTATGGGGAGTCCAAACCCATGGGAAACCATTAGGGGCAAAGAGCAGCCCCAAGCTAGCCCCTTCTCTCACTCCCCAGGACCCCCTACCTGGCACCTACCTGCCAAGGATGATGTCAACACAGCCTGTGGTGGTGACAAAGATGTTGCCCTCCTGACAGGCCTCGTCCATGGTGGTCACCTCATAGCCTGTGCAGAAACAGTGGCCATGGGGCACCCAGGGTGGCCCTGCCTTTCCTCTGGCTCCAGTGACTGACAGCCAACCCTCACCCTATCATACCCTCCATGGCAGCCTGCAGTGCATTGATGGGGTCAATCTCGGTGATGATGACTCGGGCCCCAAAACCCCTCAGGGCCTGGGCACAACCCTTGCCCACGTCGCCATATCCCGCTACCACCGCCACCTTGCCCGCAATCATCACGTCTGTGGCCCGCTTGATGCCATCTATGAGGGACTCCCGGCAGCCATAGAGGTTGTCAAATTTGCTCTGAAAGGAGAGGGGGCAAAGGGACAATGGGAGCAGGCAAGGCCCTGGGGACCCAGACCCACTCTCAGCATCTTGGCCTGGTGGGCCTTGGGCTGATCATCTATGACTTTTCCCCACAAGCTTATGCCCTATGCCTCTCACCCTAATTAGCCCTTCTTGCTAGCCTTTCTCTGCCGGTCCAGAAGCCTTCTTCAGAATCAATTACTAGAAGAGATTGCCCAGTCAAAGAATCTGCTTCACTTTAAAGCTCCTGATGCGCCACTCTCACTGTGCTTTTTGTCCCCTCTTTAATACATTAATTACCCACAGTCTACAATCTCCTTCCTCCCCTCAAATGAGGCCTTCAAGTCCCTAGCCTGCAGACTTCCCAGGGTCCTTCCTCAGGGACCTACTCCCAAGCTGCACTGGGAGCCAACAGCTGGAACTGTCATTGCCCTACAGGCTCACCTTTGTGACAGAGTCATTGACGTTAATGGCAGGAACCTTCAAGATCCCGTTGGCCATCATCTTGTATAAGTTGTGGACCCCTGTCGTGGTCTCCTCAGAGATGCCTCGGATGCCTGGAAAAGAGGGGAAGGGGTGAGCCTCAGGCCAGGAAGGGGCTACCCAAGGGATTGGAGTGTGTGTGGGAGGAGACTCTGGAACGGAGCCCCAAGAGCCTATACCATCTACTCACCCAAATTCCTCATCTTTGTCCTCTAAAGCCACTCCTCTTTCTGGGTTCACATCCCTGTGACTGATACCACAGTCCACCAATCATCCAGGCAAGCATGAGGGAGGAGTCAGCATCGTCGCCAGGACACTTGAGAACTCTCCATTCCCACTGCCACTGCCCTAGTCCCTGCTACCATCATTACTCACCTGATCTCCCAGCTGCAACACTTCCTTCACACAGCAGGCATTTTGAACATGTACGTTTTTAGAGAAATCTTTTCAAAACCCTCTAATTATTTCCATTGCTCTTAGGATCAAGCCAAATTCTTTTATCTTAGCCTAGTAAGTACTCACACATCTGGCCTTCACTAAATACTTCCTCCCAGTGAAGGACGCTACCATGCTGTTTCTTGAAGAGTAAGTCCTTTCCTGCCTCAGGGCCTTTGCACCAACTGACGCCCACACCCCACTTTCCTCTCTAACAAATCTGACCCTGCTTAACAAATCTGACTCATTCCCAGCCCTGGCTTATGCTTGTTCTTGGATGAGCATCTCAGCCAGATCTCCCCCAGCCACCCTGGCAGAAGTCAGGAGGCCAGGCCCCAGCATGCCTGCATGAAACTGCTGTCCTCCCATCTTCCACAGAATCTGCTGTTTGAGGTGCTGGGAATCCTACCAGCCTGCTGCTTTTACATGGGCAAGCAGGCTCCATCTAGGTTGCCAGCAAGCACCCAGCCTACCCACCCACCCTACTCACCTGACAAGAGCTGTGGGTACTTGGTATGGATGAGGTTGGTGAGGTCACCACCATCGTCCAGAATCATGTTGAGAGGCCCGTTCTTGAAGTATAGCGTCTGCTCAATGCACCATAGGTACTCTTCATCGGTTTCACCCTTCCAGGCATACACTGGAAAGCAAGTGGCACATCAGGGTCTGCCTTCCCCACTGGTACCTGCTCCAGAGAACTAACAACCCGGGCAGAGCCAATACTATCTCCTTCCTAATTCCCTTGCCCAGCCATCTCCAGCCCCTCTGAGGACTCAGTGGTAATAAAAACACAACTTGGAGCTAGAGAGATCGGAGTTCAAATCCTGGCTCTGTACTCGCCAGCTGTGTGACTTTGGGAAAATCACTTTACCTCTCTGAACCTCAGTTTCCTCATCTGTAAATGGGACAAATAGTATGGGTTAAGTGGGTTGGAGGCCAGATATAGGTAACTGGAGATAATTCTTTACTTTCCTACCACTTTTTGTCTGAGCCCCAAGGACTAGGGTATCAACCCATAGTGACCAGGCTCACACCCAAAGTGCTGCAGGGGCAGGGAGCCACACTCAGGTGGACCCACAAGACAAGATCCAAGGATCATTCTGCACTGAAAGGACTTGAAGACCCATCAGTCTTTGTGGTGGATGGTCTCAGGCAAAGTCTGGCCAAAAAATTACTAATAGCAGAGTACTTTCTCTGTGCCAGATATTACCACCAGTCCAGGCTCCTCCCATCATATGGTATGACTGGGACATGAGTGTGGGGCTCCTCTGAATCTCCTCTGAGCAAAGGCCACAAGCCAAGCAGGGCAGTATGCCCCTTTGCCTATCTGGGGCAGACAACAGTCTTGAAAATGAGGCATTTCCCAGAAAAGGGGCATGAAGCCCAACCACGGCTAAGGAAAGGGAGACATGCCTATCCAGCCCTGGTCAGACTCTGGAGAGATCCTCCTGACACTTTCCCCTCCACCTGAGGCTAGTTAGAACTCATGAATGTCCTATGTAATCACTATCAGAGCCAACCACTCCCCTCCACAGACCCAGGCAGACATATGCCATTTTCTCCAACAGCTTATGAAAGTTCTTCCTCCTAGTTTTGGTCCTTCCTTCCCCCAGTTCCCTAGACCATCAGACCCTAGGCAATAAACCTCTGGGGCTCTTTTTCTGACCAGTATTCCTCCCGATCCTTTCTTTAAGGAACTTCCCCTCCTCTATACCAAGTGGTTCCCATCCTGTCCTTGATCACATGACTTAAGCTGGGACAACAAGCACCTCCAACAGAACTTTAGATGACAGTGGAACAAAACAGCTCTTTCCTATAGGTCATTAGGCTAGGACTGTGTGCCCATGACTCCCCTCCCCTGCTACAGGGAAACCTGTCACTGCAGGAGTCAGTGAAGCAAACATGGAGCAGCAGAGCCCCTTCATGCACCCCCACACCCCCAGCAGCAAGCAGCACTCACCTGGAATGCCAGCCTTGGCAATGGCAGCTGCTGCATGGTCCTGGGTGGAGAAGATGTTGCAGCTGGACCATTGCACCTAGAAGAGCCAGCAAGACAGGGCTGTGGTCACAGAAACACAAGGGTCACTGCCAGGGATAAGGAAAAGCCCCGGAGCTAGAGGCGAGAGGCTTGTGTTTTAGGCCCAGCAGGCTCTGTGGCTATAGAGTGGGGGCGCTGGTGAGGGAAAGGGAGCCAGAACAGTGACAAGACCCAACTTCTGTTTTAAACCATCACTCTGGTGCTGTGTGGAGGAGAACGGGGGTCCACAAGGAAGCAAGGAGACAAGGGAAGAAGCTGTTGTTAAGAGGTCAGAGGAGCCCAGACGGGCGTGGCTCAGCGGTTGAGCGTCGACCTAGGATACAGGCGATCAGGGTTCGATTCCCGGTCAGCGCACATGCGCGGGTTGTGGGCTGCAGCCGATCAATGACTCTCTCATCATTGATGTTTCTATCTCTCTCTCTCTCTCCCTCTCCCTTCCTCTCTCTGAAATCATAAAGATATATTTAAAAAAAAAAAAAAAGGTCAGAAGAGATGTCACAGAAGTAGTAGAGGTGATAACAGGTGTATTTTGAAGGCTGCGCTGACCAGATTTGCTGTAGGATTAGTTGTTGGAATGAGAGAGAAAGGAGTCAGGGATGACCCCAGGTTCTTGAACTAAGAAAACCTGGAAGGCTGAGCTTCCATTTGCTTTTGTGGGAAGACTGCAGAAAAGGATGGGTGAGGGGCGCATAAGAAATCATGAGTTCACATGGACATGTCAAGGTCGATGTGTCTGTTCTCTAAGTGGAGACGACACACCAGCTGCTGAATATACAAGTCTCGAGCTCCCAGGGAGAAGTCTAAGCTAGTACATTTATCTGGGAGTCATCACCATGTAGATAGTATTTAAAGTCATAAAATCAGAGCGTGAATATGGAAAAGAAAGAAGAGGTCCAAGGACCGAGCCCCAGCGTAGTCTGTTAGTTGGTTTTGGCTGGTCGGCCCTGCCTTCTTTAGGAGAAACTAACTTGGGCCCAGCCTCCTACAGTGGTTAGGAGAGCTGTCAATCACGAACCCAGGACCAGGCTGAACCAATCAGAGCACACCATCCTTCTGGCAGCCATGACTGGCCCAGGGCCGGCACCTGACCCGAGGAGGGCCAGTGGGAGCCAGCCAGTCCTTAACTCAGTGCAACGCTGGGTTGAATTTTTCCCACCGGAGGGGCCTCAGTCAGGAGCGTGTGAATTGCGGGCAGTTTGATGCCATCTTCCCAGTCAGAAAAAAAAAAAAAAATGTGTTCAGCACTCACCACAAAAAGTGACGGCGCTGTGGCCCAGCTGGGCCTGAGGGGGCACCCCACTGGATTTCCCACTTCGCCCAGAACAGCTGCGGACCTCACCTCAGCACCCAAGGCAACGAGGGTCTCGATGAGGACGGCTGTCTCAACGGTCATGTGCAGGCAGCCGGCGATGCGGGCGCCCTTCAGCGGCTTGGAAGCTGAGTACATCTCCCGCATGCGCATCAGGCCCGGCATCTCGTTCTCCGCCAAGTCCAGGGCCTTGCGTCCCCAGGAGGCCAGGCTGATGTCAGCTGCGGGGCAGGCGGATGGGAGTTCCATGAGCGGCTCACCCACAAACCGGCAAGCACTGGTCACTCGTCCACTTGTGGGCTCAAAACGCTAGGCTGAGCAACCTGGTGCCTGACTGCCACGCACTCCACACGGATTGATGGAGCCAAGGCAGGCAAAAAAGAAAGGCATGGTCCCTGCCTACCTCAGCTTACAGTCTTGTACGAGGGCACATTCAATCAAAGAATCACACAGCACGTGTAAATAACACAGGTAAGCGCCCCCTTGAAAATAGCTATCAGCCTATATATATGTACATATACGTCCCACTACCCTTTCTGCAGCCACCTACCAACCTCCTCACTCCCTACAGATGTTAGCTCCTGGTTGTCTGTCCACCTTCCAAGTCATCACTCTTGCTGAATTCAATACTCATAAACGATACTAACGCCTTGGATTCAGCACAGTTCTTTGATCTTCTTAAAGATATGAAAATGTTTCTTCCCCACTCCCGATGGTTCCCCACAGAGAGAATTCATCTGTGTAAGTGACGCTCTGGGCATGCCCGGTTCAGCTCCCCCTTTTGCAAGCAATCAGTAGCCACCTTGCCAGCAGGGAGCACGGTCTTCCACACACAGACCCTCGCAGGCGCACCTTGCCTGCACCTTGCCTGTAATGAGTGTTAACTGAGTTTTGGGGCACAGTTAGCAGGATCACTGGACTTTGACACTAATCTACATCCTCTGGCTTCAATGTTATTAGTAATGAAAGTTATATTTTGGCTTCTATCTGCCACCCCAGATGTCTCAAATTTGTCTAAATTCTCAGGCAGGAAAAAAGGATACTATTATGAGCTCTCACTATCTCAGTACTCTCCTGATAATCTCACCCTCCCTACCCCGTTACGCTAGCCCATTCCAAAACTCAGTCCCTTCCCCGTTAAGAGTCATCTGTCAGGCTTATAAATCTCTCCTGGAAAATCAGATCCAGTAGGTCTAGGATGGGGCCTGGGCTGCTGGTGATTACTATCTTTAGGGAAGCTTAGATCCTGTCAATTACCCAAGGAGGTGGTAACTGGGTAGAGAATTTAATAATAACATAATAAAACTAAGTCAGTCTGCTTCCTGCTGTACAATTCAGAAATGAAATATTCCTCCCCCATGGGAGGGACTACTACTACTACTGAGCCTCAACACACACTCGCTCCCCCTATCACCACCCCTACCTCACCCTGCCCACCTTGGCATCCCATCACCAGTGATACTCTCCCTTGGAAATATTGACTTCAAGCAACTGACTCTAACCATGTTCCATCTTTCCAGTCCTCTCCCTCTATAGCCCCAACTCCAATAAGGTTGCAGCCAGTCAGGTCAGAATCTCTAATCCATTAATCCTACCAATTTTCACTGCCCCTGACAGCATTGCCTTCATGTTCTCAATTTCTTCCTGTCACAGTTTAAGATTTTGCTATCCCTTCTACCCTTCCATCCTCTGATAAATCATGGCAAAACTCCCACCCTGGTTAAATCCACCCCTCCACCCCACCTAAACCATTGAGTCCAGCAGGAAAAAAAATCACAGCTACACCAAAGGGTCTCATTTATTAAGATGCAAATCTCAAGGAACATGCCAGCAATCCTCTTACATTTTCTTAGTAAATTTACTCTCCAAACCTCTAACACCTTTCTTCTTCAACTGACCTTTCTTTCATCAATACTACAATGGAACAATACTACATTAACTGTATGCATGTCTGTTCCAACCTCACCACAATTCACTGAGAATGCCGAACGATGCCACTTTTCCTCCATGGAATCCACTAGTCCTCATCTGTACTACAGACCAGGCATATCCTCTCACATCCTTGAGGACTTCACTATTCCATGGATGCCACTCTTCTCAAGGTCTCCCAAGACGAGCCTGATCCCCACATCTAATAGTCAATTACCTATGTTCACGTTTCTCCCTGCAGCACTGATCCCACTAATTACTCCCTCCTTCTGAAACCCTTTCTTTGGCTTCTATAACTGTCCTTGTGTGGTTTTTCTCCTACCTTCCTGGCTCCTCTTCCTATAAATGACTAATGTTTGGAAGCCCTCAGGGCTCCATCATCTCCCGTTTCCTTTAAATACCTTCTCTACAGCAATGACTCCCACGTGTTTTTCTCCAGTCCAACTTCTCCCCTGACCATGAGACTCATGTAATCCAATTGCCTGCTCAACATCTCCACTTAGATGCACAATTGGATCTATTGTCAAGTTTGAACCCTCATGACTCCTTACCCTCCCCACAAACATGTTACTCCCCCAATTTTCCCATTTTAGGAAATGAAACACCATCTGACCAGCCGCTCCAAACAAAAACTTTCTCGATTCTTTTCCCCTTTCAGCCCCTTCCAATCCATCAGCATATTGTTGGCTCAAAATCCCCAATATATAAGCAATCCGACCACAACTTCCTACCTTGGATTACTGAAGCAGCCTCCTCGCTGGTCTAACTATTCTCCCCACAGAAGAGAGGAAGATGCTTTATAAAATTTAAGTTATATCACCTCCACTCTTCTGCTGAAGTAAAAAACCAAACCTCCAATAGCTTCCTCTTACCCATGAATAAAATCCTAACTCTTTACACAGCCTGAAGGCCCTACCCACATGACTGCCCACCCTGGTCCTCCCACCTCTTCACCCTCTTCTCCCCCTCCCTAACTTCTCAACCACATGGATCTGCTTACTGTTAGTTTTACTGTCTTCAGACAAGTGAAACTTATTCCCACCTCAGGGCTTTAACCCAAGTGGTTCTCTTAGCCTGGGTGGCTCCTCCCCAAGCATCTGATACAGACCTGGCAAACAGCAGGTACTCAATAAAAACCTGGAAACAGGAAAAAATTTGGTATACTCCTACTGGAGGAATGGAATGCACCAGGATGATTCTAGTAGAGGAACTAAGATAAGTCAGGATTTTATTCCCAGTAAGGTGGGAAGCCTACAGAGTTTTAAGAGGAAGAATCACAGTTTGTCTTTTGAAAAGACAAACTTTGGTTGCTGGATGTATATGTGGAGCAAGAGACCCAGGAAGACCTGTGAGAAGGGTGACCAGAACTGGGGTGGTGGCTGTGGAGAGAGAAGTGGGTGGAACTCCTCACTTATAAAATGGAGACAATACTACATTAACTGTATGTGTTCCAACCTCATCCTTGAGTCACCTTTGTATGTCCAGTGCCCAACAGGGCCTGGCACAGAAAAGGGGTCAGCAAATGTTTACTGACCATGTCTATTGTTAGGACTGAATGAGAGAAGGTCCATGAAAGGGGCTGGCACAAGTCAGGGGTGACAAAAAAGAAACAAATCTAAACCCAGTACAACTCCCAGCATTTACCAATGAGAAAAGGGCCCAGAAAGGGGTCTGTCCCAGGTTCCACAGCCAGTCAGTGGCAGAGGTGGGACTGATGGCCAGGAAGAGCTAGAGCCAGAGGCCTTCTCAAGGCTCCCAAGAGGGGCCCAGCAGCAGTGGACAATGGGCTCTGTCCTAATCTGCTAAGCTCTACCCACTCTATTACCACCAGTCCCTCTAGCTGAAAATAACTGCACTGCCCTTATGGCAGCTGTGCCAGCCCCAGAGTTTTCCATGGACCCCTCACCTACAGGGGCATAGGAGGGTCTGGCGCTCCAAGCTCTGGGGTTTTTGGTCCTGCAGGAGCTGGGACCTTGAAGAAGTTGTAGGAACACCTAAGCCAGGACAAGCCAAGAAGAATAGCAAGACCCTCTCTGAGCCTCACTTTCTTTTTTCTAATCCTCACCCGAGGATATTTTTTCCATTGCCTTTCAGAAAGAGTGGAAGGGAGAGAGAGAAACATTGATGTGAGAGAGACACTGATTGGTAGCCTCTTGCACACGCCCCGACCAAGGCTGGGGTCAAGCCTGCAACCGAGATACATGCCCTTGGCCGGAATCGAACACTCTAACCACTGAGCCAAACCAGATAGGGCTAGCCTCACTTTCTTCATCTGTAAAGTGAGAATAATCATCCCCAACCTTGTGAGTCCTGAGGATTAAAGCTGTCATATGGGCAAGGTCTGGCACAGTACGCCCTCCTCGATGGGGGCTTCCTCCCTCCAACCCTACCCAGCCAAGCTCCCCAGCTTCCAAATGCAGACTTATCTCCTCCCACACAACCCAATGCCTTTAATCCTGACCCATCGATCTCTCCATAGTATGACAAGCCTCTATCCCAACTCTGCCACTAACGTGACCTTGACTTAACCTTTCTGGGCTTCAGTTTCATCGCCCACAAAATAGGGACAATAGCCTACTCTGGCCATTACTTCAAAAGCTACTACTGATAAGCTACTACAATTGACTCTTGAACAACACAGGGGTTAGGGGCAATGACCCAGCTAACTTCAAAAATATGTGCAACGAGTTCTTGCATTTTTCTGCATAATGTAAAGACTTGCAATTTTAGGATGACTGACCTGCTCAGTGACATACATTTCCAAATAAAGATTTAGCATGAAAGTAAAAAAAAATAATAATAATTTAATTAATTTTTTAAAAATCTGGCAGTGGCTGGTGTGGCTCAGTTGGTTGGGTATTGTCCCATGCACCAAAAGGTCATTGGTTCAATTCCCAGTCAGGGCACATGCCTGGGTTGCAGGCTCCATCCCGTCGTGGTGCATGCAGGAGGCAGGCGATTGATGTTTCTCTCTCTCTCCCTTCTTCTCTCTCTAAAATCAATAAAAACAGAAAAATAAATATTAAAAAAAATCTGTGTATAACTTTTTTTTTAAAAAAAATTATCTTTACTGATTTCAGAAAGAGGAAGGGAGAGGGAGAGAGAAAAAAAATCAATGATGAGAGTCTTTGATTGGCTGCCTCCTGCACGCCCCCCACTGGGGACAGAGCCCTAAACCCGGCAAGTGCCCTGACTGGGAATCAAACCATGATCTCCTGGATCATAGGTTGATGCTCAACCGTTGAGCCATGCCGGCAGGCTGTGTATAACTTTTGATGCCTTCAAACCTTCAGTCATCCCTTGGTATCCACAGGGGATTGGATACCAGGGACCCACCCATGAGCATCCAAAATCCATGGATGCTCCAGTCCCTCATGTAAAATGGCATAGAACTGCCCTGACAGGATAGCTCAGTTGGTTAGAGTGTCCTCCCAATATGCCAACGTTGTGGGTTAGATCCCCAGTCAGGGCACATAAAAGCAGCACCCAATCAATATAAAAATAAGCAGAACAACAAATCAATGTTTCTCTTTCCCTAAAATCAATCAATACATTTTTTAACTTTAAAAAATTAATTAAATGGCATAAAACAATGCATACAATTGACCCTCTGCATGGGCAGGTTCAACCAACCACTGATGGAAAATACCACAGATGTGAAACCTGGAGACATGAAGGGCCAACAGTGTATTTATTGAAAAAAGCCACATATAAGTGGACGCATGTTGTTCAAAGGTCAACTGTATTTCACAGAATCTCTGCAAATCACTTCCTCAGCTTCTTTCTCTGTATAATGGGATGAGTCCACCTCTGAAGATTATTCTGTAAACATATGCAAATCAGCTACACAGCAAGTGCTCCATAAATGTTGATGCCTTTCTCCAGGTTTAATGGTGTCCTTGAATTTACTTTAAAAACTGCTAGCCAGCCTGAACTGCTTTTTGCTGAAAGTTCATAGTGTTGTTCCAAATGTTCTCTAACATACGGTGGTGAGGTGTGCTCAGAGGACTACAGGGCCTGGGTTCATATCCTGCGCCACCTCGTTCCAGCTGTAAGATTGTGGTCAAGTTATCTTTATTTCCTACCTCTCAATACACTCATCGTAAAATGAGAAAGTAACGGTCCCTACCCTAAAAAGCCGTGAGAATAAAATGAATTAATCTAGAATAAAGGTATAAGATGGTGCCCATCCCCTAGTAAACGCCCAGTAAACTTAAACTATCAGTATATCAGCTTCAATCCATACGACAGCAGGAAGAATTTTTTTAACCACTCCAAATTTTCTGCGAGATTCTCTGCACGACTGTCCCTGTTGGCCAGAAGGGTGACCCCAGAGGTTGAGTAACAAGCCCAAAGTCCCCTGTGAATGGACTAGTGCCGGCCTTGGATTCGCTTTCCAGGCCTCGCCTCACACGCCTATTGGGGCTCCAGTGCCCCCACCTTCCCTACGGGAGGCTCAGAGAGGGACTGGCACTTGTCCGGGACCCCCTAGCTGGCCAAAAGGCCGGTCTAGGCTCCTGAAGCAGGACCCGGACCTCCTAGTGCAGGTCCTGGCAGATGCCAGGGGTCCCAGGCCATGGCCAGGTGCACACTCCCCGTCGGCCCCGGTGGGCTCTTTGCGAAACGTGCCGCCACTTGGTGGCTAAGCAGTCCGCGCCACAGCACGGGCCTCGCGAGGTACGCCGGGACTTGTAGTCCGAGGCTCCCTCTGACTACCCGCTCGCCCCGGCGCGAGAACTCCAACCCCCAGGCGGCCTCGCGCAGCCAGGACCACGCCGGGCCAACGATTCAAGGGGGTCCTCAGCGCCCCGCGTGGGCCCCGGGGCCGCCACCAGCACAGGCCTCCAGCGGACAAGGACCTGAGGCGGCCTGCTGCAGGTCCTGGAACTCACCGACTTTGTAGGGCAGTTTGTCCGACATGCTGACGGCTGCTCCGCACGGAGTAATGGACACAAGCGAAGGGGGCCGGGCTTCGTACTAGGAAACGGAACTGGGCCGACAGCAACGGGAAGGGATCCGTTCCTGGCGGCGGCGCCTTTAAATATCTTCCTCTTATTTGCATATTTATGAGTCCCTCTAGGGCCGAGCCTTGGGGGTGGGGCCCAGCGCACCAGGGCGGGACCAGAGCAAACTTCGATCTCTGCTGAGAACAGGTTTTGTCCCTTGTGGGTCAGGAAGGGAGGTCGCTGAGAGGCCTGAGAGCGAATGAGAATGTTCTATCTTTCGTTAAGCCAGTGAATCGATGTCAAAACCGAGTGGAAGTGAAATTCCAACCTGTTCACTTTCCTGGGCCTCAGTTCTCTCATCTGTAAAATGTGCCGAATGTAGCTACCACACAGATTATAAGTAAATTGCAATATGCCAGGTAGAATCCCAGACCTTCCACCCTCCTCCAACCTAACCACTGTCCTGAGTTTTGGTAAGTTTGTACGCATTTTTATACCTTTACTACATATGTATAAATCATTAAACGCTTCGTAGAATTCTTTGTGTTTAAAGCCTTTTATATAAATGGTACCATACTGTACTGTCTGAATTCAACAGATGTGCCTCAGCCTGCACCAGTCCCACCAGTGTGCCCTTGGCTCCCACTTTCCTGACTCGCCTCCCACTGTTGACAGGGATCCTCATCAGGCCTTAGCAACTTCCTCCTTCACTGGCGCCTTCAAGTGTTGATGTTCCTTTTTCCAAGAGGAAGGCTCCGTCTTCCTGGGCCCTCTCACCTACACTTATGGCTGTTGTGCCCACATGTACCCAGGTGATTCAGGTGTTGATGGAATAAAGCTCTTACCCCAGGAGCCACCTGTTTCCCTCCTCAATCACATGCCCTTCTCCCCAACCCTGGGGTTATCGCTACAGTGAATTTTGTGTTAATAATTTCTTTGCTTTTCTTAATGGGTTTTCTACCTATATGACCAATGCTAAATAGTACGTTGTTTAGTTTGATTGTCTTTTTGCCTTTTTGTAAGTGAAATCATACTTTATAAATTCTGCAACTTGCTTTTCTCTTTCAACATTGCTTTTGAGAGTCATTTGTGTAGATGTTGAAAGCTGTGGTCCATTTATTTCCATTTCTTTATAATCCATTTATTTATTCATTCTATTATTGGTAGACTTTGGGTTGTTTCAGTTTTTACTACTGCAAAGAATCCTGCTCTGACATTTTGGTGTATGTATATATCTAGGAGTCAAGTTGTGTGGCCAGATATGCTCATGTCCAACCTAACTAGGTAATATGAAACTGTTCCTCAGCATGGCTGCATCAACCATGTTCCCACAAACAGTGATTAAACATTGTTTTCTGCCATTACTAACACTTTTTATTATCAAGTTTTTATTTTCTTTCAATCTGACAAGTATGAAATGATATCTCATTGTGGTTTTAATTTGCAGTTATTTGAGTACTAATGATGTTGAACACCTATTCATATGTTATAATCCATCTAGGATTCTTTCTCTATAAAGGTTCCATTCATGTCGGGCCATTTAAAAATAGGTGGTTTGAGCCCTGGCTGGGTAGCTTAGTTGGTTAGAACGTCATCCCGATACACCTAGGTTGCAGGTTTGTACCCCAATCGGGGCACATGCAAGAGTCAATCAATGAATGCATGACTAAGTGGGACAACAAATTGATGCTTGTGTGTGTGTGTGTCTTTGTCTTTTTCCCTCTCCCTCTCTCTCTAAAATATTTTTTAAATTTTTTTAAAATTAAAAGTAGGTGGCTTGCTTTTTCTTTTCAGTTAATAGGAATTCTTCACATATTCTGGATACTAGTCCTTTGCTAACTGTATGCTGCAAATATCTTCTCCAGGTTTGTGGTTTGTCTTCTCACCCTTTCTATGTTGTTCTTTTTTAAAAATTTTATGTTTTTGTTTTAGTTATTGATTTCAGAGAGAGGGGAAGGGAGAGAAACATTAATTCATTGTTCCACTTATTACACTGACTAGAACTTTTAATACTGCGTTGAAAAAGAGTGATGAGAGCAGACATTCTTCCTTTGTTCTTGGGACAGAAAGCATTCAGTCTTGGGGGGGGCCTTCAGTCTTTCACCAGTTTTTTAAAACTTTTTTTATTGGTTTATTTATTATTATTATTATTATTATTTACTTTTTAGTGAGAGAGGAAGGGGGGAGAGAGAGAGAAACATAGATTTGTTGTTCCACTTATTGATGTATTCATCCGTTGATTCTCGTATGTGTCCCGACCTGGGATCCGACCTGCAACCTTAGTGTATCAGGATGACGCTCTAACCAACTGAGCTACCAGCCAGGGCCAGTCTTTCACCATTAAGTATGTTAGCTATAGATTTTTTTTGTAGATGCTCTTTGTTGAGAAAATTTCCCTCTAATTCTATTTTTCTAGTGGTTTTTAAAAACCATGAACAGATGTTGAATTTTCTTGTGTGCTTCTCCTGATATCAGCTGATATCTTGAGGTTTTTCTTCTTTAGACTGAAAGAGAGAGAAACATGGATGTGAGAGAGACACATTAGTTGGTTGCTTCCTGCATGAGCCCTGACCATGGCTGGGGATCAAGCCTGCAACCGAGGTACGTGTCCTTGGCTGGAATCGAACCCGGGACACTTCAGTCCGCAGGCCAGTGCTCTAACCACTGAGAAAAACTGCTAGAGCTGTCTTTTTTTTTTCTCCTTTTCATTCTTCCTATAGGTTTGGCAATTTTATCAATATTTTCAAAAAACTGGCTCTTGGCTTTAATAAATTCCTCTATGGTTTCTCTGCTTCAACTCATTGATTTCTGCTCTTATCTTTATTACTTCCTTATGCTTGCTTTAGGTTTATTTTGCTCTGCTTTTTCTAAGTTCTTGAGGTGGGAGCTTAGACTGTTGATTTGAGACTTTTTATCTTTTCTAATATATGCATTTAGTGCCCTAAATATCCCTTTCAGCACTGTTTTAGCAAAATTTTAATGTTATACTTTTATTTTCACTCAGTTCAATGTATTTCTTTTTTAATTTTTCTATTTTTTATTGACACTATTACAGATATCCCCCATTCATCCCCACCCCTGGCCTTCACCAACTGTTTTCTGTGTCCATGGGCTATCAGTGCATTTCTTTATTTCCCTTGAAACTTACTCTTTGACCTGAGGACTATCTATAAGTGTGTTGTTTAGTTTTCACATGTTTGGATATTTTCCCATTATCATTGTTACTAATTTCTAAGTTTGATTTCCTAGTGATCAGAGCACACACTCTGTATGATTTCAATTATTTTAAATTTGGTAAGATTTGTTTATGAACCAGGAGTGGCAAATCATGGTATACATATGTTCTTTGAGCACTTGAAATGACTGTATATTCTGCTGTTGTTAGGTGGAATGTTCTATATGTGTCAATTAAATACTTGGTTGATGATGTCGAGGTCTATATCTTGCTGATTTTCTGTCTAGTTGTTCTGTCACTTGTGAGAGGTGCATTGAAGTTTCCAACCATAATCATGAATTTGTCTATTTCTCCTTTCAGTTCTGTCAGTTTTGCTTCACATATTTTGCAGCTGTTTCGTGCAGATGCATTTAGGATTGCTGTGTCTTCTTGGTGGGTGATGGTGACCCTTTTTATCATTATATAATGGAAAACAAACAAACAAAAAAAACACATCAGGAAGGGGAAGGGAGTTCTTAGTAGTGCTAGGTAGGGTGGAGTCCAGGCTCCTGATGTGGTTGGCTGGTGGGGTTGGGGTGGTGATCATTTGTCTTTTTAAGTTTACTATCGGACTGATAAAAATTAAAATGTGTGGTAACTGTTAGAGAGGCTGTGGGGAAGCAGGAACCCTCAGACTTTGCTTTTGGGATTGTGTGTTGGTCCAACTTTCATGGGTGACACTCTGGTAATAGCTAACAAGGTTACAAACAAATACCCTTTCACCAGCAGTTCTATTTCTAGCAATTTATCCCAGTGGTGTTAGCACAGGTGAGTGAAATGATGTTAAGAGCAAAATATTAGAAACAGTCTAAATGTGCTTTAGTAGGAGCCTTGTTACGTAAAAAATGGTAGCCATAGCCGGTTTGGCTGGGTGGCTAGAGTGTGGGCCTGAGGACTGAAGGTCCTGGGCTGATTCCAGCCACAGGAACGTACCTCAGGGTGTGGGCGGGAGGTGAAGGTGGCTGTGTCTCTCTCAAGGAGATGTTTCTCTCTCTCTCCCCCCCCCCACCTCTCTGAAAAACAACGGAAAAATCCTCAGGTGAGGATTAAAAAAAACAAACAGGAGATGTTTATCTACTGATAGAGAAGATCCACCATCAGGATAAATGTAAAGCAGAGGAAAAAGAAAGCAACACGCAGAAGAGCACGTCTAGCATGTTATTAGTTGTATAAAAGAAAAAAGAATACAAACAGGTATTTTTCCTATATATGTGCCCCCCCCCAAAAAAAAAAAAATCTGGCTGGATACACAAGCAACTGCTGACAGTCCTTCCTCCGGGTGCCTCCTCCCCCAACCCTGCTTCAGTCCACCGCGGGCAGGTCATGGGCAGCCCAGCGCCAGCAGCGGCTCTGGGCCTGCTGCGCATGGGGGCCCGCGAACAATAGGCAGGGACCGGCCAGGCTGGTGGCTTCACACCAGCCCTTTGAACCTGCCCTATCAGTGTTTGCTTTTGTAGACACTCGGGTCCCCAGAGCGGAGGCGGGGTGGGGGCGGAGTGGGAAGGAGCCCGCCCATTGGCTGAGGGGCCCTCTGGGCTGGCCTGGCTCCAGCATCCGGGGCTCAGACTCTGGATTAATTGGGAGGCCCTGAGATGGGGAAATGGGGTCCAGGGGCTGAAGACACTCACTGACAGGGATGTAACAGAATAATGCAATTTTGAGAAGAACCCCCACTACCCCAATACTATCATGGTGTCCACCCTGCTCCCCAACTCCTTCCATGTTCCTCCCTTCTGTCCCCCTTGGATTTGTAAACTGTCCCTTGAGTCTGCCTTGATGTCACTCCTAGGCAGTGGAAGACAGAGGTAGAGGAATTTTTTATAGAGCTTGGAACAGGGCTCCCCCTGCACCCAAGCCCTTCTCATCCCAAA